TATCAAGAGGAAGGATTCACAGARCCGCAGAGGTGGGTGTGCGGATGCCCTTGCAGACCAGGGGAGCCGTTGTTGACGCGGAGCCGAGGTCGGCAGCGCTGTGTGCGCTCGCCTCCAACACCTGGAAACCAGGGGCTGGCAAGGACAAAATGGGACAGTTTCAATCTCCTTTTCACTCCTGTGGCACTTTGAGTGACTGATGTAAAATTTGATGTGAATCACAACTAGGAAAATATATTGCTCAAAACGTTCAACAGATTTTTTGGTGTCCTTCTGACCTTTTTCTGTCTTTCCAGCTCTTTTTCTACACTAGAACTACTCAGTACTTACTGCACGTTTTAAATTGACAGTATTTGTTTTCTTATATTGACATATTCTCCCAAGGGAAGGACGAGGGAAGTGTCCCGAATGGGCCGGTCCATGTCAGGGAATTTGGCACGGGTTTCCCACTGCTCCTACCAGGAACGTAGCTTTCCTGGTGGGAGCCCCAGGGTGAGATCCCAAACCTGCTGCTGGTTTGATGTGGTGCCGTTCCGACGTGCTCAGATCTGCTTCAAACACCACTCGGGTTGAAACACTAATTGCTGTAACTAGTCCCTCAATGCTCTTGCTCCTAAGTGTAGAGCTGGCCTAGCAAGAGCTGTGGCAGGAATTCTTAGTAAGCAAGTGAAAACTGGAAGCATTTATCAAAATGCTTTCAGGAACATGAAACTGTCCACTCCTCTTCCTCTTAGTTTGAGGAGAAATGGGTACAAATCAACGCYAGACACTTCTGGAAAGGCAAACTGGATGTGAAATAGTGATGGGGTACACAGAGGAGGTGCACAGGAGACCTTATCCAGATCCAAACGGGTGCTCCCTACATGTCCACCCGCACACCGAGCCGGTCATGGTCAGGAAGGGGCCTGCCCGGTGCAAGGAGCATCCGCGTGGACACAGCGGCGCCAGCTCCGCGGCTCCTCAGCCCCGTTATCCAACCCTTGGTTCTGCCCTTGCACATGAACTCACTCCACACGCRCCCGCTCCGACACACGGCTTTCCAGGATTTGGCAAAACACCTCCARTAAAAATAACAATAGGATAAAACAAACTGCTGGAGGACGGAGCTTGCTATTGAACCATATCGGATACCATCGCTGCCCACAACACCAGGAAAGCGGAGCCATTAATCCAGAAAGTCCCTTTCAATCCCGTCTCCCAATAATCCCTCCAAACAAATAAGCAAAACCCTAGGACCTGCCTGCCTTTTCTTCAGGAGCACTTTTTCTTCCTGGTTCTCAGGCCCTGAAACACAGCTGTGAACATTATTTGCATTGCCAGCCCTGCAAGGAAGGTTGTTTTTAAACAAAACTATCTTCCAATTAAAAATTCAGTTTGTGGCCTCCAACTAAATAATAGTACTCCTTTTAAATAAGGATATTATCATTTCCTTATGATGCTTTTCAAATATCTTCTCTTAAAATCAACAGGTAAAAGTTACATTAAAAAAAAGTATGAACAGAGGACTGGAAAAGCAGCCACATATTCCAGCATTGTTAGCCAGACACCGAAAATTACAGCTTGCTCACTGTTAAACTCACATATATTTGGACACATACTACCATGGTACATGCAGTGACTTGAGGTTTATACCAGGTAAGAGGAATAGGAATATAGCTCACAGTCTGCATTTCTGGCTCCTCACAGAACAGGAGAGTCCAAACATATTGTAGGTCTTTAGAGCTGCTCTTCGTGGATGACTAAAGATCTTTTTTTTTCCACAGTAAAAACAGAGGATACTGCCACAGCGTGTAATTTTGAGCTTCTACAGCTGCCTGTGGCCTTCCAGAGAGAGGAATCGGGGTGAACACGGCCTGTTTTCTGCTTGGGCCATGCACCGAGCTCCTTAATTAAATGGTACCCCTGGACTCCCTTGGGGATCAAGGGAGCAGTCTGGCACGGCAGGGCTCAGGGCTGCTTCAAGACGTGGTTCACCTGGCGGTAGCCGGTTCTCCACACCAGTCATTAGAGAGGGGGGTCCCCACGCTGGAAACCGCGCCTGCGGCCAGGCTCGTCACACCATGCAGGAGTTCATGTCACAGGGACGAGGGCAGTTTTTTTTACAGTTATTTCCCACTTGTCTTTGGCCAACTAGGAAACTCTACTGGGAGGCCAGARGGTGAAGCGAAACCGGAGCAAAGATTCACGCTGGGACCTGCCCCGACGGCTACGGGCAGGTTCAGCACCACAACCGAGCAGGCTCTCGGGAAGGAAGAGTGCCTGTCCTGGAGAAGATCCGCAGCCAACGCGAGAGCTGCAGGCACAAGGCTGAGCCGAGCTCCTCGCACCCCRCAGCAGTTGAATATTTGGTTGCATAAATCACGATCAGGTGGAGACTTCTTTTGAACATGGGCTGTTTTACTCGACAGCTAACAGAAAAAATAAACTAGCTTCTTGTTTCTCCTGAAAAGGCATTYGCAAAAAGGGAGGCCTCCTGGAGTACACTGGGCTTGGAAGCTACCAATAGTAAAGGAAAAGTAGAAAAGGCTCAAAAGCCACATAACAATGAGTAAATCCGACCTGGAAGAGCGGCCTACGGATCACATGGCATTCTCCTATTACTGCAAAATAATAATGGTCCATATGTCTTCCTATGAAGCTTTCTGCCAGTGGTCTCCCATCCTTGCAAATATTAATTTTGCCTCCCAGGCTGGAAGCATCTGCAGCTTCCTCTAACGTGGTAAAGCTCCGGGACAGGAAGGGCACCACGAGCCTCCTCCGGCGGAGCTGGGAACGCAACGCAGCCCCTCGCGCCCATGTTTGCACATTAACCCCCCAATCATCAGATGCCACTTATTTAACCTACTTATTTCACCTCCTCACAAGAACATTTTTGGTCCTTCTGCTTCTTTTCCAAGTGAACACATTTGGAGAGAGGTGTAATAATACYAGCAGCCCCAAAGGCCTTTAGAAGAGGTGGCCCCGGGTGGTGCGGCGAGCGGGATGACCGCAGTCTCCGTTAAACCTCTTGCCCCTTTATTACCTTGTCCACCATGAGCAGTGATTAGGGCAGGACCTGTTCCTTCCCAAATCCCAGAATTTCACAGTCTTCAAACAGCTGTTCTGCAGCGCCGAGCAGCACACGCTGTTGGCACGTCACACTAGCAGTGCCTAAAAGAAACTGCAGCTCCATTTTAAACGTATCACTTGCTGCTTCCAAAGTCACTCAGATTGCTAAAGGCAAAAAGCTCCTCCAAAAGCAGCTCCATGGAACCAAGCGAGCCCTTCCACAGCTCAGGTCACTCAGAAGTGTTTGTCAGTCCCCATCCCTGTTCCAGGGCTCCATTACTTTAGTAGGAGCTCTTCCCCTCTGCTCTCTTTTCGATACTTGCCTCTCTTGTCATCTTTTCTCCTCATTTTTAGTCCTTTCCCCTCCTTTCTTTAGAGTCATTTCCATTTCCTTTGAAATGTTTTGGCATTTAGTKCTGGCTTTATTCTTCCTCCTCCATCTGCTGCTCTTGTCTTGCTGAATCTCTTCTGGAGCCTTCGCTTGAGAGAAAGCAAGAGCCATGTTTCGGGCTTGCTGCCTTTTCCTCCTGAATTTCAGTTTGCCTCTCCTCTTCTTCATTAAGAACTTGGAATCTGACAATCCCTCTCTCCCTGGAAATGCATCTACCAGCTATAACGTCTCTTTACCAGTCCTGCAATAGCTGGTCCCACCCTGCRTCACATCTGCCGTTCTCTTTAAGTGCTGGTATCTCAGGAAAGGAATTGCTCAGTATTTGGCATTCCTCATATAAACTACAGACTAGAAGAGCAATACTCCAAGAAAGTCAAATCCCTGGTAGGTTTGACCGTCCGGCTCGATGGTCAGGGAATCTTCTGGCCGTGCAGCCTCACTCCTCTACCTACCAACCAATTCCAAAGAGAGTTTCCCCTTCCCTGAGCGTTTCCTTCTGCTTAAAATAGCCTCCCGCATCAGCTGCTTAATGCTTACAGCTTAACTGCCTACAACCTTGTCTTTACACAGACTAGCCCTGTGGAGTCTTCCCAATATATTCGACTTTGGGGCTCAAAGAGGTAACACTAAGACACATCTTCCAAGCCCGGTCRCTCCTCGGTCTCCGCATCCCAGTGGGATGGAGCTGCGGAATCCGTGCAGCTCTGAGCACCTCCGAGGCCAGGAAACAGCCAGTGCCTTCTTGGAAACACACAGCCACATCCACCTGTATACATTTCAACTAAAACACAGTGTCGTGCAAGTTAACTACACACTAAGGAAGATACACGGAAGAGAGCAGTGAAATTATTTTCTGTATGATTTTTATCTGCAGATTTCAAGGATCAAGTCTGACACAGTGAGTTTTCCTTGGGTTTGTTAGTAGCTGCTGTGTGTGTTTGTTATTGTACCTTTGCACTGGGAATGGKGCCTTGTAGAAGGTTTTGCTTTCACAAAGGCTGAAGGAAATAAGCACAAAAACTGGGAAAACAGAAACAAACAAAAAACCCAAATCTTGCAGCCAGCGGGATGGATTTTGCAAAGAGGGATAAGATTAAAATCACAGAAAATATAAATCGTACATTACAGTGAGGATGCCAATGCATAGAAGTAACACACAAAAATGAAGTGTTTATCAAGGATTCCAAAATAAAGCGAACAAGAACACTGACACATACCAGAGCTTACAAAAGCTCCAAAATGCCACGTCGTTACTTCTACCACAAGCCTCAGGCTCCAGAACAGAGCACAACAAAATCAGCTGGTTTTCAGTGTTGCTTTCTAATTTTCCCACCTCGACTCTCCTCCGCTCACGGGGGGTTCTCTACTCGGTGCCTCGTGTGCACCGGACTGCTACATGAACGGCACAACCAAAGCATCCGACACCTATTCCGGGGTCAAGGTTTTGCTTTTCTGTTAAATGTCTTAAACACAATGCATATTTCTTACCATCAAGAAGAGATGTACATACTTAACAAGAAAAATTCCACCAAAATGCTATCAGCTAAAGATGGAAAAGATACCGAGATGCATTTTGGCCTCTGCTTTCTCAAGTTTACAGTCTCCTTTTTTCCATTTGGAAATAGCTTATTCTTAYGGCTACAAGTGATGATATACACAGCAAGTGCACAAGCAAATTAAATGAAAACAGGGAAAATAATTCACTCAGTTAATGATTTGAAAGTTATTTACAAAGAGGAACAGATTTTCAGATAGAAGCCTGATTTATGATGACTGACCCTTTCAGCATTTTTTGAGAAATTATGTATTATAAAATTAATTCAGTGAAGAATAGCAGTGAAAATAGAAGCAATGAGACATCATCTAAATAAGCAGGCTCCTTTTACAGCAGTCTGAATAACTGCAGTTTGGTAAACACACCCCTGATAAAAACAACATATAACTCTTTGACATTCCTCTTTAGTTAGTTATTTCAAATTCTTTGCAAGTATTAATGAAGCAAGCCTCGCTCCTACAAAGCAGAGAGAATTATTGCCACATATAGAGAGCAAAAGGAAGCCGCAGGGACAACCCTCCAAAGCTGCGGAGCCGGAGCTGGGCAGAGGATACAGGTCTGACAGTGTCCAAGGAGAAGCCTCCTCTCCTCCAGATGAGAGCATTTCCTACGTGGCCAGCATGCAGAATTTACACAACATTTACACTTAGGTAAAACGTTAAATCAACGTTTGCACATTTAACTGTGGACTAGTAAACAAGCAACACATTTAAAAGTTTCATACAGGTAAACAAGGCCCAAACAAATTATTTTTTAAATAGCAAGTCTAACAGTTTATCCCTACTGAGGCACTCTTACGTTCTGCTCCAAGGTCTAATTACAAGCCCATTAAAATAACAAGTCATGTTAAAAATGCTAGCAGCTGCTGAAGGCTCATTTAAAACACTTTGTCAGGTTATGGCTAAATAAACATCAAGGTTTAGCACAGCAGTGACTGGAAATTGTGCCTTGTTACCTTTGTGGTCTTCTTGGGCCAGCTGACCACGGGGACCCCCGAAATGGCAAGATTTTGGTCATCGTCAGCGTGTTCCTTCAGAATGTTCTGTTGCAAATGAGAAGAAGCTTTATTAACCAGATCTATTTTTCCAGTGTGGGAATGTCAAGATCTATAGAACAGCAGGCCCAACCCCACAAAGATAAAGGCCAACAAGGCTTCAGTTATCCTAAGTTTGCTTCCAGCCTCCAAGCGACGCCGCGGGTCTCGCGCCTGCCCTCGAGATACAAGCAGTGAAGGTTGTTGCAAGGGTGACAGCACAACCCAACACGAACCGCGCCCGGTTCTACAGCCTCCTTGAGAAGCGGCGCAGTGTTTTTCTGCTAGTGTCAGTCTAACACCACTACTAAATCTTCCTTGAAGCCCTAGGTCCCTAAGCCCCGAACGAGGGCCACCACCGTCACCAGGTCCTTTCTCCAGCGTCAGAAACCCCGCTTTGCCACCACTATTCCTGCCATCAGGGGCACCTGCCTTTGGGCACAGAGCACCCCTCGTGTGCTGGGCCACGTCTGGGTAAGCCCAGGGATGGACCTGGACACCTGGACCAGGTCGGGAGCGAGCGGCCGGCAGAGCCCCTGCAACCTGAGTCGCTTCACGCGAGCTGAGGCCTCCAGGCCAYGGAGCCCTCCCGGAGAAAGGATCCGACTCTGGATACTTCGATGTTAAGGATAAAGATCAGCTTTTTCCCTGCTCTCAGCCCTGCCAAAGCTTCTTGCTCTGACACCCCGTCCTAGGCCTCTCCTGAGTGGGCTGCAGTGGCTGGTGCAGCTTCCACCACACTGAATCACGGCTGTTACTGGGGAACCCGGCACAGGGGTGGGGAAGAACGGCTCAGAAGGGGCGCGATGGGGAAAATCCTGCATTTCCCTCCTCTGCCTCTCTATGTACTAACYAACTCCGTAATAAAATTCCTAATCTGGGGTTTGGGTTGCTAAAAAAGAAAACAAATCAGCTTATTGCTCCCCAATTACACTGGTGCCTTGGGGGGAAAAAAAAAAAAAGGGCTTAATTAGACAACAACAACAGACATTAGATCCTCTCAGTCCCCAGTGCGGAGATTTAATAATTAGCGACCTCGCCTGCTATACAAATAGAGTTTAAAATACGCTGTTTTAATAGGAAACACCCTTGGAAGTGTGCAAAGAAATTCTTTTGTAATCATGCAGCTAAACCAGGGCCGGGACGGCGCTTTGTGCCTCAAAATGGGCCAGCGGCCCCGTTTCGGGCCAACCCATGTGCAGGTGTCCCCGGCACCTTCCCTCGCCGAGCCCAGCACCCTTTGGGTTCAGATCAGTTCCCCAGCTCGTGCTTTAATTAGAGATATTTTACTAATAGAGGCTACAACACCGGCACTGCACTCCTTCCGCAGGTAGGATCACACTGGTGTTTGTTCATGTCCTCTTTATATTCAGGCAGTTGTTACTGCATTAACTAAACCCAAAAGTTGGTTTTCAGACCCAAAACTGTAGATATCTTTTGTGGTTTTAAAAGGAAAGCCCAASTTCTCCAGAACAAGAAGGCAGCTTGAGACCCATATAAATAAATGACAAATTAAGCTCTCTGTACTTTGCTGCTCTTGAATTTGAAAGGTTGCAAGGCAGAAAACCTTAACATTTCCACTAAATACTGTCAGAGCCTCCATTCAACGGAAAGCAGAGGGGCTTGCAGGAATTTGGCAGGATCCTGAGAGTTTCTTGTTACAGTATGTATCACATAAAAGCATTACCCAAGAAGCAAGGCAGTCGATCATCTCCGCCAGCTGAGAGCGACGCATGTTCCAACAGCAGAACCACAACCAAACTACAGCCGCAGCGACTGTAGCATCAGGCATCCGTGCCCAACAGGCTGGCGGAGGCAAAGACCTGATCACCTGCTTAAAAATCATCATTATAAAGAAAAGCCAAGGGGCTCCAGGTTGACAAGAAGCCCTGTTGCTCACCCAGCACAAGGCTACCTGATTCCTTGCACCTCATGGCTGTGGTATGAAGGAAAGAGGCTGATTCCGGAGGTAAGAATCCAGTTTAGCCATTAATTTCACAGCAAGCAATGACTCCCCCAAGCTGCATTCGGCAGAGCAAGCTTTCTTCTGTCATCAGAATGAGGAGGGGGTAAGATTCTTGGCAAGAGAAGGGAGGAACATATTTCAGCAGATATCATCTGTCTTGCACAAGATTCTTCCGCTGCTGCCAAGGAGCTGCAGATATTGGACAAATTCGGCTCTTCCAGCTGAGTTTCCTCTGCCCTCGTGGGACTCTGGCCCCTCGGGAAGGGGCTTTGCCTTGGATCACAAGGTCTGTGGCATTTCTACGAGACACACGACAGTGATCGTGCAACCGTCTTCCTCAACAGCGCTGCAGGAATTGCCATCCCGCTGGTAGCACAGCAGAAATGTTGGAAAACCTTCAGCAGTGGCTGCATGCAAAGGCCCTTGGCAGAGTCCTCTGATGGGGGCTGCAAACTACACCAGGTGCTAGGATTAAATCCTCTGTCCCCCRTGCACAAATGCAGCCCGAGTGCATCTTCACCAGCCTGCCGCGCCGTTTGGCTGCTGAACGTGGAGCGGAGGAGCCCACAATGGAACATTTTCAATCCCCAAGACCACCATTTAAGAACAGTTATTCYTCAGTGATTTTCCTTTCTCTCCCATATCTTTTCACTGCGGGGACCTTCCCTGGATCTAACAGTCCAGAGGCTGCTTCGTTTTCAATCGAGCAAGTAAGCGAGTTGTTGCACTGTTTCATACCTCAATTTGAGGCCACGTGTCTATGGAAAACGAGGCACTGCTGGCAGCAGCAGCAGGGAGGTGGCGCGAGGGCTGCCGCACGGCCCTGTTGCTTGTCCTGCCAGCGGGGCCAGCGCCAAGTCCCTGGTCCTTCTGCAAGCGGAGCAGGGCCGGCCGGCTCAGGGAGTCTGCGCTCATCCACGGACGTGGCTGGGACACACAGGGATCGGCATGGTGGGGACACGCAGGGATCGGCACAGCGGGGACACACAAGGAGCGGCATCTCCGCTGCCGACTGCTCTGGTGCCATCTGCTCGGGAATGAACGTTGCTACCAGTGATAGCTGCTCGGAGCTGCCGTGAAGCTCCTCTGTCCTACGGCGCAGAATTCCCATGGCAGAGGTTTAATTCTTTGTTGGAGCACCGGGAAGAGATGATCCCTCCTGGAGCTCCGCGGAGAAGCGTCCCTTGCACTGCCAGCGATCGTGGTGCCCAAGGGGACCTCAGTCTGCAGAGATATTTGCTTGGCACTTCAATAGCAGCGTCCCCACTAGAGAGTGGCAGTTGGTTGGGAGCTTAGGTGACGTGCAGGGAATTTACCTAGGCTYGGGTTACCTTTCAGCCTCCCTTCTCATAAGGGAAAATAAGCTACTTGACTCCAAAGAGCCTCCTCACCTACTTGACATCAAATAGGCCATGAGCAGCGGTGGTTGTAGTGCCACTGAGAGCAGTAATCCAGTCACCCATCCTCGTCCGACTCGCTGCTTCAGTCCGGAACGCAGGAATGCTCTGCAAGTCACCCCAATTTGTTCAGTGAAACTTCACATCAACGAATAAAACAGTTTCCTCTTCCCTGTTTAACTACCCGTATCCTGTTTTCTGGAGCTCAAAAACGATTTAAATGTCACACAGAATAGCTCCCGAGTGTGCTTCATTAAGACATAAAACTGCTACAATAAACATGGTTTTATTTTCTTYGGGAAGAGGGAAACTTGCTCAAGACTTTGAGTGCAGCAAGACTTGCAGACATTCTGCCAGAGAGCCACCTTGTTGGGTATTTCTCAAAAGTAACTCTCAAAAGAGAGCCTCAAAAGGGTGCTTCTTCTAGGCTGTGTTATTAACACAGCATATATACACACAAAATAATCAGGTTGCCCAAGAAACGAAGCTTGCACAATACCCAGCTATACGGTCTGCACCATCAGGCCACACAGATGCTGCTGCTCCGGATAGTCAGCAGAGCGAGGTAGGAACGCGGGGCTTCTGCTCACCCTGCTGCTCACGCTGGCAGCAAAATCCCCCTGTGACTTGCTGCCTTGGTCGGAAAAATGGTGGGAAATTGAGAGGAAACACGATTCCAAGGGCAGAGAGATAAATACTGATAAATCCTTGCGTTTCGAGGAATTTGAGTGAAATTTGGTTTGCGCAGGGAGCTGGCAAAGGAAACGCGACCCTTGCTCCTTCGCCATCCCAAACTTAGTTCCTACTCTGGGGGCTTCGCTTTGGTTTCTGATTAGAGCATCGCTGAGCACAAAGCAGGCCAGGAATCCAGTACAAAGCAGGTCAGGAATCCAGCACCCGCTTTCGGGTACAAAGAGGGGCATTTTGCAAAAAAGGCTTTTGGAGCTGCCGGGGTTGGCCCAAGCGCRCGCCGCGTCGCGCCCTTCCAGGCTGCGGGAGGGCAGAACACGACTGCGCTGCGTGCTGCAGATTTACAGCCTTCTCAGCTGGCTTTGAAGGCATTTCGAAGCAGCTGCTGCACTACTCATTCTGAAGCAGCACAGGCTCCCTTTTTACCATATAAACTCGTATTTTTCCTTGGATTGTGACTTACGCAGCTGTCATGCATGGCACATATGTAGTTGAAGAGAAATAAATAAAATCACGCTGTACACAGCACATCACAAAACCAGCTCTCCAGCACAGGACTAAATATTACTACTCACACTTCTAAATCAGGCCAAATTGCCAGGGTACTGAGTCTGGAAAGGGCACCCTGAACACCTCAGCCTTAGTTGAAAAACCCCAGAAAAATGACAGCAGTATGCTGCTCTTGATTCTTAAATATATATATATATATGTGTATATTTGTGTGCCTAATATGCCTATTGAATACAGTGTGAAAATAAGGTATAGAACAGTATAGCAAAGCTAAGCAGTTAACTCAAGGCGATGCTGCAGATAAGAGGTGGGGAGGACAAGACCAACGTGGCCTCATTGCTCCTTCAGGAGGAATTTGGTCCCTGCGTCACGCCAAGCACCCGCTCTGCTCTATTGCAGAGCGGTTTGTCATTAGCGGCCCTTCAGTCCTGCACCATCTCTGAAAACACTACACGTTGTTGCAGCAGAGACTAATTATCAACCTATAGAGGGCAATGGAGGAAAAGAAAAATGAAAATGGAAAAAAAAAAAAAAAAAAAAGGAAAGAAAATGCAAAAGGGAACAGCAGCAAATGTAAGAAGTAATAAAAACAAATTGTGCCAAAATTGTTAAGGATGATTTTTAAAAATTTAAATTGTCAGTCATTCAAAAGAAAAGAATTTGGAAAATCAGTGTTTATAAAGAAAAAGAATATATAAAGATGATGAGGATATGGTGAGGATATGTTTAAGGAACAATATTTTCTCAAAAAATACCTTATTTCTTAATGATTTTTCAGTGTATGATAAGAATAATGAAAAATAAAGCAATTCAGTTAGATGCCTATCAAGAATTCAGAACTCAAAGAATGGGAACCTAAGCAAAATGAAAAAAAAAACAAAACTATAAATTAAAGTGGCAAAATTTGTGATAATGTTTCCCAAATGACATACTATCAAGTTTTCTAATTTTGCAGTATGACAATAACCACTACCACATGAGACATTGAATATCCTCTATAACATTTTTTTCACCACAATGAATTATATGTATTGTCAGAAACAAATATTTGGATTTGCAGAAGTAACAAAACATTGATATTTCACAAGTACCTACTTGCTGATATCTGTAAGTACAAGCACGCCTTGGCTTATTATGGGGAGTCCCATTGATTTCAAGAAAATMTTGCAAACATTTGCATCTGTTTGTGTAGAGTCAAGGTTATTTGTGCAGGGTCAAGGTAGAGTTATCTTGTGAGATGTGGAAGAAATATTTGTACAGAGGCTGGAAGAAATGAACAGTTCTACTGCACCCTTGTCTATACTGAAATTGCAGCTAACAGAACCTTTCTCTCTCCTTTTCAGTAAGCATATACTTTGCATCTCAATTTAAGCATCATTTCAGACAGGTTTTTAATTTTCAAAAAAAACTGATACAGTACATGTAGGCTACTAGCTGTCTGCAATACTTGGGCATAGCTCAAGATGAACTGTTTATTTTCCTTCCTCTTGGCAAAAAATAGCAACAGTGACATATTCTTAGAAACATGAGCAAAAATATCAATGTCCATATATTCCTCAATGAGTTATTCTCAAACTGAAAAAAATGCATTTCACAAGAGGCAGAAATCAAGCCAGAGAAAATGAGTAAACCAGTGCTTTGGCTCTTTTCTCTGATATACTTAATGCAAACAGYTTTTCCTCTTTTGAGGCCAAGTGGAGTGATGCAGAAAAAAAGCTAACAAACCTCTGATCCAAACCCACTGAAGTCAAAGCAAAGCATCTCACTGATTCAGTGAATACTGGATTCCATCATCTTCACATATCAGGTAGATTAATCCTAATTTACATCTCTTGACATCGATTTACTGGCCCAAATGTATCATGTATTTCTCCCTGATGGGACTCAGTATAGAAATTTGTAAATAATTCCACTAAGAGAAGGCAAAATAATGTCTGTATGACAGAGCTGAAGAGGCTTTGCCATGCAGCATTACAGACAGATCATACTGTTGTCGTTAAGTCATAGCAAAAATGCTCCCATATTCAAGATAGCCAAGTAAGCAACTGTCTACCTAACATGCTCTAAGGAGCCTCTTTATCAGAAGGTGTTTTGTAAGTGCCAGAAAAGGACTGTGACAACACGACACATATTCCAGCGTGCCCTACATCTCTCTGAGGTTTTCTGCTACAAAKGATATGCTGTAGACTTGCACAACCAGAATATGACTCTTTTTCTGAGGGGGGCACGGAGGGAGGTCCAGCAGACAAAGGCACTCTATCTAAAACCTCAGCGTGCTCATCATTTATATTCAATTAATGCTGTAAAGCCAAG